TATAAGAGACAGCCCATTACCTTATCATATTAATACATTAAGTTTTAAGGAAATTTTACGTGGTAACAGTATCAAGTATTCTAACACTAGTATTTTCACTCAAAGAAATCAAAGACAACAAGGCATGGCTGTAGCATTATTACACACTGTCTAGCTTTAGGAAGAGGTTTTCAATACAGCAAGCAATTTGCTTCATTAAATCTTAACCAGTAGGTACCAGTCACCACAGTAAACAGCAGTTTTTCCTAAATGTGTATCACTGAGCATGTGAATATTGTAAGAAAACACTGCAGAGCTTCTTACCTTCTATCAATTTGCTGGTAACATTTCCTAAGCCAGCCCAAACTTGGCATTTTTCTCCGTGTTGTTGCACCATTCAGGTAAACTATCATATAGTTCTCTGCTACTAACAGTTCTAAAGTGCCAATTACATACCTGCAAAACCAAGCAAATAAAACTTTCACATGAAGATCTGTGGATATTAAATTCCTAATAGTGATCAAATACATTAAAAAAATTTAGAGTTTGCAACAGTGTTGAGCAACATCTAATAATAGTTTCTCTCCTTCCCTTGGAAGCAGATATTGTTGCTTTTCCATTTGTTACCTTTCTCTCATCTGAAATATTAAAAGTTTAATAAAAAGAGAAGTAACTGCTCTTACATCAAAATGCCAAGTTTCACAATGTGAAATTAAGACAGTATTCCGAGGCAGATAATGACTTACTTAAATAGATTGTCCATTAGGTATCTGTAGTTAGGCTGGCTGCTTTCGGGCATAAAGCAAACAGCAAACACAACAATGGCATTTAACCCGTCACCATAATAACCTAAAACCAAAGAAAAAAGCATCAATAGTGACAAAGATCACTACATATTTACTACATTTACACAAACCCAAGCACATCCAATAAGCTTTTTCATTATTTACCTTGAAAAGATTTACAAACATCTATTCTATATGGACAAATTCATACAGTTACAGAAAATAAAGATTTTTTTTCAAGTTTGTCTACTTCTAAAGAAACAGCTGAAGCTGATGTAAATCCAATGCTGTGCCTACAACCAACATCTCAGTTTAAAATCTCAGACTTTTACATAGTGAACTTTTCTTCCAACTTAAACTCCACAGACTGTCATTAAACTGATTATGCCTTACTAGATCTACAATTAATGGTTTCAACACTCTTAAACCAGTCACACTGACACTGTAGACCAGATAATCTTATTTTATGACATATGTACATGTTAGTAGCTTCATCTGAACATGTGTACATTTTGGAATTTTAGTTTAACAGGCAAAAAATAGTGTCAACCATATGCCTTAACACTGCAACAAATGAATCATGAGCTTTTCTGTGCCACCTCAAACTCAGCTTAAAGAAGCAGTTTCTCAACAGTTCTGCTCAGCACATCACTAATCCTTACCACCATGACTGATAACTTTTTTATATGGTTCAATTGCCTTCATGTCCACCCTATGGTCCTGTTCTCCAATCCTAAACATTCGCCAGCGTCGACCATCATCTTTCTCCTCTGCTGCAGTGTATTCAGTAAGTGATCCTTTCCTAATTACATCAGTAGTTTTTGGTTTTGGAAGATCATCTGCCAAAGTTAAAACATGTTAAAGATCCATTATGAATACTACATGTAGTGACAATCAGTTACAACACCAGTTAACCACTTTGCTATCTAATCCATTTTAATATTCTCTAGCCAGACACATCAGTTGACTTGGTTCCTTCAGTCATTACAAAATAGGATCTCATGGGTGTAATATATATTTTATCAAAATACTCTTATGTTGGCAGTTATCTGTTGACTAATTTTCTGTGTCAAAGTACACGACTAATTTCCATTCATGTAGGAAGCCTATTTAACTGTAGGCTTTCAGAATACCGATCTTCATGAATCTCAAAGTAGACAAAGTGGTTAACTCCAATGATAATTACACAGGTTGCTTGATCACAGATTTACATAAAAGCATGATTTAAAACAGTGACAATACCTTGCAAGCAGACATGCAGGCAAATCTATCAGAAATTAAATCTAATTCATATGTGTGCAATCAATACATATGAAATTTACGCTGACAGCAATCTAAAACAATTTGCTCCAATTAAATTATGATTCTTGGCTTTGTTGCATAGGCCTTACCCAAAGCGAGAAAAACCTACTGCAAGTTAGTTGTCTGTTCCCAAGACAAAGCTGTTAATTGAAACTATCCTTCCAGGAAAATGAAGGCAGCAGCATTAAAGGAAGAAAAGACAGAAACCCTTTTCAGCCACTTTTAAAAACAAGGCACAAACATCCGGAACACTTCCTTTGCATCATTGTAAAACTAACCCTAAATATGAGTTGTTCTTCACTAAAATGATGAAAATCCTTTTAACACAGATAAACCCAGTTTCTGTTATGAAAACCACCTGCAATACGTCTTCACCTATTAACCCCCCCCCCTTTATTCTAAAGAGCATATTTTTTTCTGTTTGTAAGCTATCTCGGAATGAAGAACAGGTAGTGGTTTATATGTAATAGTGAAAAGCAAGCTTCCTGTTTACTCAGGAATTAAAATTAATTTATTTCCAGAATAAAATAAGAATAGTTTACATTTTTACTTCGAGACATTCTTAAGTTGTGAAGTTTACAGAAGTTAAAGACTCCAACTATTTGACCAACACCACAGTTCCTGGCTTACATAAAAGGGCCTTAAACAAAAGTTAAGCTCAAGCTTAAAACTTGTGCTTTAATTCGTACACATAACATTTTTACCTCAAATAACATTTGCTAGAATCTCCAGGCTTTGCCTATAAGAATAAGATGAACCTGGCTATAGCTAAGGTAACTTCCTATCAAATAATTTCAGAATTCATTGACACAAGAGGATCTTCTACCACTTGCAGTCAATCCAGAGAGCATGCAAACTCTAAGGCTACTGACCTTTTGCCATTCTCACCACAGTAAGATGTTCAGGTGTTACTGAATATATTTTAAAATAATAACATTGTCCTCCTTAATTACAAAGGCTTGTAGTTTGTGGACTTCTGACCAGCTAAACTTTAATCTATATTTCTTTATATGGTTCACTTCAAAGTGAAACACCTTGAATATTTTTTCTCCCAGGCTGGTTCTTGAAAACATACTGCAACAGAGAGGATTTTCCATAACTTCAGGTCTTACAGGTGTTTAATGACATTCACCTAAGTTTATCTGGAGTTACAGCTAATACATTCAGCTAATAACAATCAGTTAAGTTCTGCTTTGCACTTTAAAAATTCACTGCGCCTACTTCCAATTTCTAATCTAATCACTCCCTTTACATTTTTACTCTTGTAATACTGAGTCATAGTTATATCTCACGTGAAGACCTGTTGACCTGCACACAAAAATATTTTAGGGAATCAGACAGAAGTAACAAAATACTTACCTTCCCATTCAAACTCATTACTGTTTTCTGAAGGAGTATCTAAATCATCCAGATCAATCTCTCCACTCTCATCCAAGTCATCAGACAAAACAGATTCCTCACTGTGATCCAAAGTTAAGCTAATATCTGGAGCCATTAGTTTCTTCCTCGCTTTAGTTCTATTAACCTCTGTATTTAAAAAAAATCAAATTATTTTCAAAGCTAAAGTGAGTTTAGATAACCATATTAACAAGACAGAGGAGCACAGTGCTTTCTCAGAATGCATTGTAAATTAACACTCACAATTTAAACAATGTATCTTTGGAATAAGAATTAAACATAGGGTGAAGAGAACAGCACTAGAGGTAAGAGTTCTCAAAACCATAAGTTTACCTGATTGCATACATGCTATGATCACAGTGGTAGACCCACCATACTCCCTACAGAAGAAAAACCTGTAGTGTTGCCACCAGCTAAGCACTTATTACCCATACTAGCTACATCAAAGGATACCATGAGTTGTTCTAGATATTATACTACGTATTGCAAATAACACAATAGATTCATGTCCCTAGCCCTTGTTTTTGTTAAGGTATTGGCAACATCATAAGCATCTTTGATGAAATAAATAATATACAAGATTAAAAAAAGGCTGACAAACAATAGCAAGGACAGAAAATTAAAGAAGCTGTTAGGTGAATACACAGCATTCATTGAGACACAAGGCAAATACTTCTGTGATTTAGCAGTTGAAAGCAGGGAATAAAATGAAATGACAGATCTAGCACTAGAAATGCCACAACTAAAGCAGACAGACAAGATGCAAAAAATTTAAACATTAAGAAAACACCTGTATTATTTCACCTCTGACCATTCAGGCATGCAACATTCTTAAAATGAGGCCACAAAGGTCTGAAATTTGGAGCAAAACTGAAGTATTAACTGATGCACAGAAGCCAAATAATGAATCAAGATTTTAAGACAGGTCAGGAGTGCAATAATTCATTTTTGTCCAGTATTGCCTGGATAGCTCTGTTCACAGGGAGAAGTCTCATTTTATTGCAAAACCCTTTTCTTTCTAGGCAAGATGTTTATAATAACCTTCACATACAAAAATGTCATTTAGAACGCTGTTTCCCCAAGCCTGAATCAAAACCCAAAAACCCACCAACCCAAACTCCCCCAAAACCACCCTAAAACAAAATGGAGCTTTAAAACAGCCATCTAAGTAGCAGCCAGCCTGACTGGAGTGAAATGTTCGTACCAGCTTCACTTTCTTCTCCAGCTGCAGCCAATATATCTGACTCAACAGGATCATCCTCTGGCAGGGGCCTGGTGGTATACAAAGTAGAAACTATTGTGACAAAACATTTTTTTCCTTAAATGGCCAGCTAAATGCTAAATAATTAGACTGCACTCCTAAAAACCCCACTGTGGTATAGTACCAAACCAAATTTACTTATAGCCTAAATTGAAGCTTTCAGTAAGCAAAGTGCAAAGTAGCAGAAAATTCCTTTACAGCATTCAAGCAACCATCTGTTGATGTGACAAATGACAAAATACTGGTTGCTGCTAGCATGTGTCACCCTTAAGAAAACTTCTCATATTCTTGCTTGAGAAAATTTGACGTTAAATACATTACAAAAGTACTTTACTCATGTTATTACAGAATGCCTCTGAAGTCAGCTGGTTTAGCTCTTTGTAGGCCCCAGCATTACTAGCAGTCTCAAAAATTTTGTTGAGAAATGTTGCTTAATGAAATATTTGGGCCTTCACACACTGGTAATAATATGCAAACAATGTAGTTGCAAAAGATTACCATAGAAAACAAAGCCAAGCTTACAAATTTTCACTTCAACAACACTGGAAAGTAATACAGGAATGCCACTGCTGAAGTTAAGTTACACATGAACATGAAGTGATCCCTTTCCAGACTATAAAGAAACATGCCACAAAACCTTTTCAAGACTACCATATTAATGAAAATCACTTCAAGGTTATTACCGAGTGTTAGTTCACCAGGAAGATAAAGTAGCAGCTTATTCTGGATGTTATGCATTTGATTTGAATTACTTAAAAAACATTAAAAACCTTGGAAAATCTTCATCTTGCCATTCTTCCTTAAACTCAACGCCTTCCATTTTCCAGCCAACTTGAATTGCTAATAGAGACTCCTGTTCAGCCAGAACCTCTTGTTTTCAGGACAGTGGGCTAAAGAGGAACTGCAGGAACATAACAGAAGATGCTAGTTCAGTACTATTGTAATTCCCATACTTGCAACGCATCCTTTTACTTATTATCAAGTTGAGGTATTATGAAGGAAAAAAAACACACACAAAACAGAAAAGTTTGATTTGTTTCCATTTTGCTGGGTTTTTTTTTCCATGCAAAACTACTTATGGAATGGTTTGTCATACAATAAATTAGGTTGGAAGGGATCTCATGTAGTCCAATGCCCTGCTCAAGCAGGACCAACTCTCAATTAAAATCAAGGGCCTGAGCAACCTGAGCTAGTATTTGGGATTACACCAGCTCAAGCTGTAAGAATTGACAGCTCTCTAGATTCTATAGGACATATTGAATAATTGTATATTTTGAGAAAAAGAATTACAGTGGTCAAATCTAAAACTCAACCCAGTTCTAAAAAAAACCCAAGAAAACCACAAACCCCAAAACATTTTAAAGATACCTATTTCAGAAAGTATTTTCAGAGAACTCACCCTGTCAAGTGCAAGTCAAGCTGTGTTTTTCCAGGCTCACCCATCACCAGCAACAAGGACTTCCCAATAATGGAACATAATAAACCATTCTGCTGACATATAAATCCAAGCTGTTGACTCCCTTGGCAGTGCTGGCTCTGAAGATTGGCAGCAACAAGTAAACTTATCAATGAAGATGTTAAGAAAATCAATGCTAATCAAAACAGGAAATTATATTTTTACATGCAAAGAAGCAATCAACACAGAATACCAGTAAGTACAAACTCTGACTGCTAACCTACTGCTAATTAAGCCAGAGAGACAATTTACTTTTTGCATGGATAAAAAGAAACAAGTTACCCTTACTGTTCTGTGGGATCACCCTTCACAACAAACCTCAATTTCTCTTCTCCTGACTTGATTACAGTCACAGACTGATTTTAAAACATCCTGCAATGCTTAAACCTACACTATACAAGCTGATTAATAAAAAATTACAAGACTGGTTTTGGGGGGGTGGGGGTGTTAATAAAACTGCAGTACCAGAGAAAAATTACATGCTAATGACCAAAAGTTAAGCTTATTTTACTGATATTTCCCTGCTTCCCTCCCCCAGAAAACAGAACTAAAATTTCTGAAGGTAGCAACCCAGCTCCTCTTAAGGGTCAGACTCTCCTTGTTTGAATTGTTCAGCCCCTGCACCATTCAGTTGCTGGCAGTATGTTCCTGTGCATACAGTCTCCAAGAAGTTGCCCCCAGCAATTGTCCTCCCAGTTCTCCCTCTTTCTGTTCGTCCTTTGACTAATATGCTGTTTAGAGTAGTTTCTTGTTGCTTGAATCATATGACTTTCCTCATGAAACATGTCCTCTCTTGCAGTAAAATGATTATATTCTCAGCATACAGTTAGTTTCTCCTGTGTGTTTGTAACAATGAGTTTTAAATATTTGCTTGGAGACAAGATTATGATTAGTAGTAACACTGAATTATATGCATAGTTCTTTACACATTTGTTTCAGGACACTGAGATGAAGCACAAGAAGTTTCACAAGGTACCCGGCACAATCAAAAGAATATAGTTGCTACAGTCACTATGGAATGGGCCATCTGATGCAATTACACAGTTCACTGTAAACAGACACTAAACCTAAAAGAAAATCTAAACTGATGACTTTATTCTTAAGGGACAGATGAAAAAATTAAGAAAACTGACAGTAAAAAAAACCCACCACCACCACTGTGCTGATAAGATGCTACTCTTGAGCTTGCCTGCACTGCATTCACAATACAGTTCCCACAAGACAGTTTAAAGTAGTTTTGCTCCAAGACTTGATCAGTTTCCTCACCATACTTTTGAAGAATACCAAACACCAAGTAACATCTATTATTTTCAGATGTACAGCATTTCAGCGCAGAAGAAATTTCTACCAGTATTTCATTACATTGAGATAAACTCAATACACTAAGACAGGCACAAAGTTTAAATTACTCATGCTGTAACCAAAGTTTAAATCACTTTTACAGAACACTTCTCTACTTACAGAATTCTCATCGGCAGCTTCTCATTAAGGCAGATTTGAAAACAATAATTTTCTAAATACCACATAGTACAGCTGCAAAAAATTTACAAGGCAAGTTCCAAGTTAAGCATCAAATAAGCTTGAATTTAGGTTTTTAGCACCCTACTTAAGATGCAGGCTAAGCAGTTGTTTTAGATGTTTCAACTTAAAGTCTCATATACAAAAGCACTACAATTTGTCAGCTAGAAGAATGAGAAATTAAGGAGGAAAGGTAATCTCAGGAAAGTGCTGACTTCAAAGTTAACTACTGAATAATTTTACATCACCAGTATAAATGCTTAAAAAGCAGGGGAAAAAATCTACTATTTCTGCTCATACAAATTAAAGCCAAATTTAGAATAGTCTTCCTATAGCTGCTGTGGTAGTGCTGACATCTTCTGGTTTTACTACAGCAAAATCTCTTTTTAATTCAGCTGTAAATCAAAGATCTAAAATCTTAACTTGAAAAATGCAATATATTGTAATAATGCAAGTATTTATTAGTCATGAAGAAGAAAATCAATAATTTCTACCTGATTCTAGCACTCTTCATGGCCAAGTCAAGTCATGGTTTCTGAGAACAGCAAGATTGATCATTCTAACTCTCTGTTCTCATTACTTTCCACTTTACTTAAATAAATGGAATTGGAAGTTTAGGAGCTATCTAAAGGTCAGAAACTTCCAACACATCAAAGAACATGTGGATGCAGGACTGCCATGTGATTCTGCTCTCTTACTGGAACCACGGGACTTTGGTGCTCAACAATGCCTTTTGAACTATCTCAACAGGAAAGTTATCATACTACAAAAATAAAAATAGCATCACAAGCAAACACATCACTAAAACGCACTACTCTTCCACTACAGCTAATGGACAAGATGTCCATTTCCAAAACACCTCGCACCTGAAGAGTATTACTGCTTGCACCACAAGCCAAAACATCAGTGTTCTCATCCTTTTTCTGCAAAAAGATAATTTTCAGAGTTCTCTCATTAATACCAATCTGACTTATTGGCAGGTGCAGGAGTACCAAATACAACAGCCTATTATAAATTGCCATTTAAAAAAATTTAGTTTACAGCTGAATACAGTTGAATCTGTCCCAGACACTTAAAAAAAAATCAACAACACCCCCCCCCAAAAAAAAAACCCAGAATGCATGAGACAATCTTATTATCTAAGTTAAAAATCCCTTGCAAAAATATTTTTGGGGGTTGTCACCCTTGAGTTCTCAGAATACACAAATAAATAGAAGTTACACATTTATATGGTTGTATCTGCCTATCCAATACTAAGACTCATATTCAGTCCTTGATCAGTACCTCAGCATCTTTAGTAGAATAAAAACAAAGTTTATTTTGCAAGACAATTGCAGTGATGAGCATGCTGTTGAACTATGTACCTGGTCAGCAAAGAATAGCTTGCTGTTCCTGTCTCAGAAGGTTGAAATGAACTTCAGAAAAAGGTTAGCCTACTTTTCTTCAACGTTTCACTTCCACCATTGACAGAAACATTAACTGTTAGTTAAGTGAAATAAAGAGGTACTGCGAAGAATATTTTTCACATTTATTTTACAGCAAGACAAAAGTAAGGAACAGATATATATTTTCTCATACACATATCCACATGGTGCAGCTCACTATAATTTCTATATGTTTTTATAACCCCATTGACTTTTAGAATGTGGCCACACTAGCCATGACCTCAGAAGACATTTCCCAGCTCTGAAGACAGACATCCAAACTTTATCACTTGTAACTTTGCATAATGAGGTACTGCAAGAACATTTATTAATAAGCCAATTCTTCACCACTTTCAGTCCCTTCTCTGTGCATCAAAGCACGAAGAAATCAGTCAACTAAAAGAGAAAACTTTTGAGAACACTGCTGCTTTCATCTCCGAGGATACTACTTTAAACTCTACATTCAGAGCAACGGAATAATCTAATTTCTGAATCACTGAGATTGATTTAAAGGGAAATACTAACTTGCCAGACAACAGCCAAAAAAAATTTATACACTGCCTAAATGCATGCAATATGCCTCTGTAAGATTTAAATATTCATATAAGTTAACCAGAAATAATCAATCATTAATTATATTAGTAGCTGGAAATAAGGAGGAACTAAAATAAAAGACACTAGAAAGCAACTACTGTGACAGAGCTCTATACTGTGCATTTGCTAAACCTACATCGGAAAAAGTTACTCCACTCATTATTCAACCACACCAGAGAAAGGGGAAATAGAGACTCCGCCACCGAGGACAAACCCCCAACCTCCTTTGTGGAAACAAGGCTGACGGCGCTGGTGCCACCGCTCCATCGAGGCAGAGGAAGGCACTGCTAAGTTTAACACTTACGGGCTCAAGACCCTTTGCGCTCCCAGGGCCGACCCGAAGCCGCACAGGGCGACGCCGCCGCCGCGCTCTGCGGAGGAAGCCGCGATCTCGGCAGAGCGGGGCCGCACCAGCCCGCTCCGCGCCCCGCGGGGCAACCACCATGCCAGGCACCGGCGCGGCCTGGCAGCGGCTCTCACTCCCGAGACGCAGGCGAGCACCGCCCCGGCAGGGCCCCCGCGCCC